AGTTTCTTTGGTGTGAGAAACTGAAAGTGTAAATAAGGATCAAAACGTATAATAGATAATGTGAAATAGGAAGAAAAGTACAAAGAGGAAGGGGAAGTGAGAGGGGTAGGGGAAAGGAAAGACGGGAAAGGAATAAATATGAGAAAAGGAAAAAATAGAAACAAAGTCTTTGTAGATAGGGAGGGATGGAGGGGTTGAAGGGAGGGCAGGGGAACGGGGAAAAAAATACGAACCAAGATACATAATGTAAAGGTACAAATTCCCAATTAAAAAAAAAGATCCTATCTCCAGTATGATGGCTCTCACTGGTTGGTAGGCTATTTTAAGGATTCCTTCACATATTCCTGGTTATAGATGTTTATTCAATATCAATATTCATAGTAAAAAATACATTTTTGAAAATGCTTTGTATATTAGCCCTGGATCTTATTAAAACATTACAATGTGGTTTCATATGGAAAATGGAATGCTTTTTCCGGGAAGGAGAAACAGGGAGGATGAAGCATTTTCAGGCCTGAACACTTGACTGGTAGGGAGCACCTGTGTGGAGTCCTTGTTTTTACCTGTGGCAATTGACCTTTGTGGCCTGAGCCTTGAAAGTCCCACTTAGCAAAGGGTGCTTTTTCTAGAAATGAAATTGTCCCCGGACTAACAGGGCTAGAATTGAAGTTAAAACTGTTTTGCTAATTTTCTTTCTTCCTGCCTCCTTTTTAATATTTTAACTGCAGTGAAGGGAGCAATCTGACCCCAGCACATCACTACCCAGACTTCAGATTTAAGACATATGCTCCACTAGCATTCCGATACTTCAGAGAACTTTTTGGTATCAAGCCTGATGATTACTTGGTAAGAACCTATAATTTTCCTTCCTCCTAAAGAAATGTGTGATGTAAACATTTGTCTCATAGCAACAGTGACAAGTATTTGTGCTTATTTTATAAAGCTCAAGATCATAGTAAAAATTCCAAGTTTTATAATGATTATAAATTTAGCTTCAGGAAATATGATTTAACTCTACAGCTTCAACTGACAGTTACAAAATCTGCAATGGTAATTTATATTTAAATAACTATGATATTGGTTGCTCCTTCAAATAATTATTCTAACAGATATATTATTAGTTTTAAAGACTCCTGTGAATTTTCCTGATTAGATTCCATTTGAAAGTCTTTCTATTTTAGTTACTTTATTTATACCATTCATCTTGATACGAAAAGTTTTAGATAACTTAATAGATTGAACATTAAGGTAGTTGTAGAAGCAAAATAAGTAACGTATTCTTTTAAGATTTGCTTTTCCTGTAACTCCTTGTTTAAGGTGAAGATTATCTGACTCTAACCAGTAACTTCATTAACCTAACAAAGTTACCATGCCAGGGTGAATTTACAATGTATATGGCCTATCT